AGCATGCGAGATTTTTGTTTGTTTTTGGGTTAGAGAGGTTTTGTCTGTGGCAAAGTTGTAGCCAAAAGTGTGATGCGTAAAATATATTTTTTTGAATTTTTTACAATCAGTGGTTCAATAGATAACTTGGGTTGAAGAGAACGGCAAATTTAGCATTTCGCAACGCATGGAAAGAACTACATCGTACGATGCGACTGCTGAGTGGACTTTTAATTTACAGTTCTAAGGACAAGAAAAAGATGAATATACAGATTACCAGTACATTCATATTATTTATAAAACATCTTTCTGTATTACCAGCTTACATTTTTCACTTATATTAATAAGAATACATCACAATCAAGGTGTTAAAAATAAGCGGAGAGACACTTTACCTAGTAATTCCTTGGGTCAAAATAAACAGAAAATGAACGATAACATTTTTTCCAAAATCGTTTCGTTAACCAGATATCCGCCATTTTGTATTTTTTACATACAAATATTTATCTTTACACTTTTCCAACCGATGTTTATAAAACTTGGTATGTACGTTAAGGTAGGAGAGATGTTATAAAAAAAGATTCATCTCGATTCACCCTAAAATTTCAAAATTTAACACTTAACTACAATATAATATACTTTACTATACCACAATATTTACGTATCACCATAAATCTTTAATAAAATAAAACGTCCACTTTTTAAAATCCAAAGTAAATCAATTTAATCTTCCTTTTTTGAAAAATATAGTAAAAAAATTAAGCGATGTTAAAATAACGACAGGCGAGTTTCGATCTGGGTGTTTCAGGTTTGAACCTAGGAGGATTGAACATTAATTAACATTAATGTTTAATCCTCCTAGGTTTGAAGTGATTGAGAGGAATACATGAAACCGAAGGGGGGAGGTAGCAACAAGTGCACTGGTACTTACTAGTGTCCAATTACAATTTCAATTGTAATTGGGATATCGGATACGGTAAGAATTAGAGAAAACTTTAAATGGGGGACATTCCTTTATTTCTTGTGGCAGTTAAAAATATGATTTTAGTTTTGGCCAAATTTGAAATTTATTATGGAACACCCTATATTTTATCATGTTTTCGGATAGAATATGCAATTTAAAAACTTTTTTATAATTGACATTTTTTCGATAAACCGACTCGTTTAGGAGTTATAGCCTATGGAAAAATGACTTCCGGTGTACATTTTACATCATGTAGCTCCTAAACAAGTAAGTTTATAGCAAAAATGGGAAGAGTAAAAAAGTCTTACAATTGCATCCACATTCCAAAAAGACCATAAAATTCATTAAAAATATGAATTATATTATTTTAAAAAATGGCGGCAAACTTGAAAAGTGGAAAACTTTTTATTTTATAGTCTTAAAGGAATGTAGATGCAATTCTAAGACTGATTTACTTTTTGCAATTTTGCTCTAAACTTACTCGTTTAGGAGCTACATGATGTAAAATGTAAACCGGAAGTCATTTTTCCATAGGCTGTAATCCTAAACGAGTGGGTTTATCAAAAAAATGTCAAAGCTAACAAAGTTTTTAAATTGCATATTCTATCCGAAAACATGATAAAAAACTAAAATAATATTTTAACTGCCAAAAAATTAAAGGTATGTGCCCCATTTAAAGTTTTCTCTAATTCTTACCGTTTCCGATTTCCCAATGGTGGACTCCTTGAGTTGATCACCCTGTATATATGAATTTGAACGGATGGTGTTTTTGGCCTCTAGGGACCTCAAAACGAAAAATTAAATCGGTCCCGCGGGTCCAGGTGTTACCATAAGTACTACGGTAATAGCTTATTCCCTATATGGGATATTCGCCAAAACCGTAATAGTTATATAGAACAATATTACATTCAACCAGCTGTTAGTTAAAACAAATTATATGGGACTAAAACAAATCAATGATTATAAAGATTCCTTTAAAAATAATTTGAACATCCTACAATTTTACTATGCATATTTAATTAATCTGCCATCCTCATACCTAAGAATTGAATGTATCAATGGCCAGCATTACACATAGTATAAATATGTCAACTCTAAATATGTCTTTAAATTTGTTTCCAAATGCTGAATGTTTACAGCTGTTATGTTAAGCAAATTATATTGTACTAAAAGCTAGCTTAGAAGGTAAGCGTCGGCTGCTAGACTTTTTAAAAATTAAAACTTAATTTCTAAAAAACTGGGACCCTTAATTATAATTATGGCTTTGACATTCCCTAGTTCTCAAAATTATCTTTCTTTCAACATAAAAATTATGAAAATCCGTCGACTGGTTGAGGCAGAATGTGAAAAAACTCATTTACGTTTTAATAATATATATGATAGTTTGGACAGGTTTCAACCCTTCCGAGGCGTAATACATTTACACAGTTTATGTGTAGACTACATTATAACTCATAAAATAGTTCTACAATTAAATGGATCTCCTTTTACAAACGTATATAATAACCAGAAATTTTCAGATCGTCCTTGCGTGTATTTTATGCCACAAATTTTGACGAAAGGCTTTTCATTACATAAACTATACCTATTTACAGTGTTGACCAAACAGTTGGCAAGAAGCATTAATAGATAATGTACCAAATATGATAATTTTAGCTTTATTCTAATTATGACAAAACACGAAGTAACTAAAAGCGAGTTTTGTTGGTGTAGTAAGCGTTGCAGGAGGTCTACTTTACACTGAATCGACGTTCACTTTTATTGCTTTTGATCTTCCGGCACTGTTGACTCAGCGAAACTGAACTTGTATTTTACCGTATTTCGTTTTATGAAAACTGCTGTTGCATTAGGTCAAATTCCCAATAAGTCAATTGCTTTAACATAGACCACGTTTTTAGCTCGGACTGTACTATTTGACTTACTGTGATTTTTGATCTACAGACACTGCAAACATTTGTTGACTTTCAGCAACATTCCCTACTAAACATAACGTCAGCCAACAGTAACATCCAACAGGCAACAGCTGACGTGCGTCAAAACGAGAAGTGTATCATGCGTCTCCGAGTGTTTTGTATCTCACTGCTTAGTCTGCGTTGATAAGCATTTCCCCGAACCAACAGTATAAACACACTGCATGTTGTGTTTAGAGTTTATGTTTAGGTCGTGATATGATCCGAGATAACGAACGAGGAGTCTGCTAAAGCGGTTGACTGCCGAAGAGAAAATGTGATGCTAATTGCATTTTATTTATGCAAGTATTATTAACTATTAGTAATACGTATTGAGATGGGGAAGCTACTGGGGATGATCCCAAATATAAGTTGAAGGATGAAATTAGAATCGAGTTAGATGCCTTGTAGCGTAGTATAGCATTTTACTGGCTAAGACTTACTATATATTATCTAACAAAAAGTGTGATGTTAGAAAGTAACAAGTCTAGGGATTTGACCGTTTTTTTTAAACGTAAAACATGTGATTGGTGTAAAACAGAGAAACAGCTGTTTCTATAGCCACTACCTTTAAAGCACAATAATTGCCAAGAACAACAGGGTCCAGTTTCGAACATTGAAAAAACTACTGATATTTGATACCTCGCGGAAACCTTTGAATTGTTAGGCGATTGATCGCATGTTTTCCTACTGGGGTTCAGATTTTCAAATTAGTATTACTGCCAAATAGTATGGATCTGATAGAGTAGCGGTGCTATACCACATTTGTAGGCAGGGAGGGAATTTAATATACAATTTAGATAACTGGGCCTTTAGTTCAATTCAATTTAAACTTTTTAAGATAGATAATTTGCAAATAATAATAATAATCTATTATCTAAGGTATCCTAAGTTTGGTTGATATGAAATTAAATAATCTGACATATACAAAGAAATCTTGAATGTCGTGATTAGGACAATGTATCTGTTTTAAAATCTTATATATGCATTTTATTATATCTTAGGCTGTTAATAAAATGTTATTTTTTGTTAATAAAATGGATGATTCCATAGATATGTCAAATATCATACAAAATATACAATATGTAATGGGTATTTATTGATGCTAGGTCCATGTAACCTTCTTTGACATCTGTTAGTTTATCTAGAGACGTGTAAGCGATGATATCATTGGTGATTACATGCCTTTTAGCAACAGTAAACAGCTGATACGTCATGTACACTACACTACAGCATTGGAAATGAAAATACTGAAACACTTTTGCTAGTAAAAATACAACAATTTGTGAGAAACAGCTGATTCTTTGCAACAATGTCTTATTCATAATATTATTCTGAACTTATAGAATATGGTATGTTTTTTATATTCATTCGATTGCAAATAATAATAATCTGAAGTAGGTTGAAATAACAGGAAGTGTGGGAATATAATACTGTGTAAGTGTATGTAAATGCAATAGTGTTCTAGTTAGTTTTTGTTTTCCTGTTTTGTACATTTCAATGCCAGCACACATTTTTTAACATGTTTGAGGACCCTGGATTTATTTATATAAAATGTCAAAGTTGTTGCAAATCTTAAAAAGTTGAAATCCAAAAAAATGATGAATTATTCATGAAACTGCATTTTTAGTCCACTTTAAAAGAAATCATAAGCCAAACTGCCTTCCTGCGACTTGGCCTTCACTTCCTTGGCTTCGCCTCGTATGTGAAATTTATTGTTTCTGTGTTCAGCCTTGCCTTTGCCTCACACTTGAAATGAGAACGCCCCCGAAAATGCCACTTTCCGCACTACTGTGGTAATGAAATAGGATATTACAATTATTCACAACATGTTTCTCAGAAAAAGAGAAAACAAGAATGTTTATGCTTCTTTAATACAATTGTAGATGGTGGTAAAAATAACAGATTCAAAATACAGTTTAGTTCAAACATCATATCCAAATTTATTTATATTGAGGATACAAAACATAAAGTACTTATAATATTTATATCATATAGTCTCTAATAACAGCTTTTCTGGATAGGACTACATAGGGCTTTATCCAATACTACATTTCACTAAAATTTTCTCTACCTAATACTGCATTTCTTGAACAATACTAAACTTTTGTTAATACTTATTACAAAGTTTCATATGAACAACAAATGTGGAACATAGGTAAGTAAATGTAAAATCTTTCAGTTCATTTTACACAATAAATACTGTTTAGACTGTAAATCTTTAAGTCAAATGTAACAAAATACAAACTTTGATTGATATTGAAAAAGCATAAACACGTAATTAAATCCATTAAATTTTGAACTAAATCTATATTATATGGTTTTGACAAAAATTGTTACCTGAGTAAATTTACACTGTTAAAGTGCAGCAAAAATTTGCTTAAAATTAACAAATCAAAATGCAATATGAAGTTACTATCTTCATACAAAGTCTTATTGATGTTAACACACATTTCAAATACATACAAATTTTGACTCATTCTGATGACATAAAATTTCTATTACCAATGCAAACATTGTTCAGAGCTTCTCCAAACCTACAATACTGAACTACTACATATAGAAGAATGTGTATAACAGATCATTAATTTGAGTGATTCTCTGAATCGGCTCTATTTTGTAGGACTAACCTCATTACAATTGGTACCGGTAGTATACGATATATTTAATCAAAAACTCATTGTCACAATACTTTACATACACCTGCCCGTCGTTGCCAGTTGTGGTGTCCACGTCATCAGGAGGAACTTCCATGCTGGTATATCCATCAAGTTCCATTTCTCTTGATACCAGCACTGTTGCTACGATAAACGCTCTTTCATAGCCTGTTCAACATATTTACTAGCTTCAGATTATGCAAATTGCTTAAAATCGATTAAAACCCCCCGGATATAATTAATTTATTCTGGATAGTTTTATAAATTAATATAAGTTCAAATCTCTTTCTGCTTCTATAATAAATTGTTCTGATCTAAAACCCTATTAAGTCCGGTGCTTAGGCTTTCAGTTACCAAATGAGTTTTTCAGCAACAATCAAAGTCCTCTGCGGTACTGATCCAACAAAACACGTGTTAGCTCCAAAATTCTATATTCCTAATTTTCCAGCCAACCTATTCCCCTAGTGGTGCAAATAAACTTTGTTCGAAAATTCATAAACAATAAGACATTACTCATCAAAGCTTGAGATAGAATATAAAATTGGATATCTGGGGATTAAGTTCTCTTGGGGGTGATCATTGGTGTACTGTGTACTTTATAAGTAGTGTTTGCTGAAACCATAGGTCTTATGATATCAAAACCATCAATAACTTAAATTCGTGGCCCAAGAAGGGGCAAATCAGCCAGCGGACAGAGGTGGTCGAGCTCAAGAGAAACGAGTATAAGTTTCACTTCTTGTTAATACTAAGTTTTATCATATACTATTTATACTCAGTGTATATACGGTACATATAAATTAGTAATATTCATTTAGTATATTTAATGTTTTTTTATATAATGTGTTAAGTAAACAAAGGTTATCAACTAAATTATAGCTGCCATTGAGTGTTTATTTATTTTTTTATTTTACCTTCCAACGGTCAAGAACCAATTTACAATATGGTATACAAGATGACTTAATAACTTAAACATTACATAGAAAAGTGATTTTTTCAAAATGACATGCAGTAAAGTGAATGCAATTTGAGCAGTAAAAATCAAAATAAATTAGGTAATTTACATCAGGTACACGCATACTAAATAGAAATACACAAATCAAAATTTTAAAACAACCAATGAACGTGAACAATTAACAAACAAGAATAGTAAGGGAAAATATAAATGAACGACAAACAATAGTGTAGGGGTCCCGGCCACCGGTCGTAAATTCAGGGGCCATATTCATATAACCTAACCAAACTTGTATATGCGGATTAGGGCCAGAGGTGGCTGGTTCTCTGTTTCCCCTTCCATCAAATAGGTACTAAAAAGCAAACATTATACAAGTTAACTACATAGAAGTTAACATCTGTGCGCATTCACACTATCAACATTGCATTGTTAATGATGAGGTTTAAGCACTTTGCTTTGATTAAACTGAACTAGCTCAGTAAAAAAGCACAGTATACGTACCGTTGTTACGGTTGGAAAAGCGGTTGGCGTAGCCAGCACTCCCAGAGAAGCTAACACCGTCGCCATATTTGCCTCTTACAACGCGTCGCCAGTCCAAGTTGTCTTCAATGATTGATTGTACATTCCGAGCGCTGGTAGAGTGGACAAGAGTTAACTCTTGAACAGAACCATATCTGGATTCGTACTCTAATTTTTTAAGCTCGTACATTCCGTGGAGATAATTGTTATGAACAGTTGTTACTCTTGTTATATTAACCTGAAAAAAATGTAAGAAACACGTCAATTTTCTTTACATATTTAACATAGTCAGTAGGCTATATAAAAAGTTGTACTTTTGTAGTAATACTAAAGTAGGTATATAGAAGATGTTCAATTGGACTTTTTAAATACTATGAAAAAGTGTGCATAATTTATTGACCCTCAATGACAGAGCTGCCAAATACCGATGGATGTAGTTTTTGATGTTTTGGGAAACTACTTTTAGTATCATACAGTAGTATAGACTATCGAATGATTGGTTATCCGACCTCCTGTGTATCGGACTCTCCTTTAGACGATCCGATTTCTATGAAATCGTGTGTTACGAGTTGTATGAGTGTATGACTGAATATCACAGGGGTACATCGAGACTACCCCTTTTGCTGGTCCTGTCTTTACGGTTGATACACATTAAACACTTTTAAAACTTTTAGAGATAATTGAGCGGAGCGAAGCGAAGCTCTTTGAGATTGGCTTCAATGCAAACTTTCTTGCACTACCACTCAATCACGGCTGAACATATTTTAGCCAAACTTACCAAGATTGTTTCGTCAAATGTTTGGAAGGTTTAAGACGAAACAATCTCAATTTTGGATAATGCCTATATAATTTAAAAGTAACTCAAGTTTTTAAATTTTAACACATGGCCTTATGGGTTGCCATTATGGTTACAAAATAACGACGCAAAAGTAAACAAAACAAAAAATTATATCATATGATTGAAATTAAGCCAATATACGACCTAAACACAGTACAAAGAATAAACATTCGTATGATGACCATACTTATCAAATAATACAGAGAAAGTATTATCAATTATTATCAATCATTGAGATGGGGACGCCACCTAGGAGCGTATTTTAACCCAAATATGAGTTAGTTAAGGATGAGTGTAGAGTGCTGTGAGATAATCTGTGTAGCTTTGTTACTGACTAAGATCAGCTGTTTCATTAGCCAGGATCATTTATTGTAAGCCCAATGAGCAGGAACAGCTAGGACCAGTTTCGAACCATCAAAAATCTACTGAACTTTTCTCAGGATCGAACCGGCGACCTTGTGATCATTAGGTGAGCACTATAACCAGCTACCCAGCCAGTTTTTTTTTAAATACAAGCTATTTGGAAAGTACCACTGATTGAATAGGGCAGTATTTTACAGATTTTATTTAATATAATCTAAATTAGACTATGACGAAAATAATATTTACCTTATATGGGATTGGGAATTAAAATAACTACATGAATCAGCAGTTTTAAATAACTATGTCGATATAGGCTATTATGAAGATGCAATCTTATTATTTACTTAAAACAACAGTAGATTATGCTATATCAAAACTTTAGTGTTATCCGACCCTTCCTTAATAAATAACGAATGCTTTGGTCGCCATTCTCGCAATGGCAGCATAGAAAAAAGACCCCACTATTGTAGTGGCGTCTTGATTGAAAAATTCTTTTATAATTTCTAGGCCTAGGTGATAAAGACCCATTTTTACTTACTCCTGGAAAAGTAGATAAGATGCTCGATGTTGCAATACTTTCATCATATAAGTCTTCTTCATACTCTCTATTATAGTTATTGTTAACGTTAGATAAATATTCCAACACAGGATGCATTATGCCTAAAAAGAATTGTGGCATTTGAATTGAATACTCAAAAGTATTTACATTCATAGTAATAGTTAGTTTTACTTAAAATATTTAAACATTAAATAATTATATTTCCAACACAGGAAAGGTATAGCTTTGGAACGGTCAGAATGAGGCACTGAGTCAGTCAACTATCACGAATCAATCGGCGTACAATCGATCAATAAAAAAAATTAATTATTGCCGTAACCGTTTGGCATACAACAACGCTCCAATGTACAAAATTATTTATTTTATTAAGCTCAACTAAATGGTTTGAAAAAAATGTGATTTTAGGGTAAAAATGGGAAAAATCAATTTTTATCCCCATATAACTCCGTTTCCATAGTCCGATTATGCTGGTTCGCGAACTCGTTCGAAAAAACGTATGATTACACTTTTGTATTAAATTTCATCAAAATTGGATAGTTTTTGCTCGAGTTAAAAAAAGTAAGAAAAAGTAAATCGGTCCCGGGTCTAGGTCTTGCCATGAGACCTACGATAATAGCTTATTCCCTATATGAGAAATTCGCTAATCGCTAAAATCAACAAATTACGTAAATATAAACACCATGTTGAACTTAAAATTTTAATCAATACGTTACTTTCACATGTATTATTTACAACAATATTAAGTAGGGAAGCAACCATTAACACAACAATCATAAAAACCCGAATCAAGAATGATACTGTACAAAAAGCTATACAATAATTGATATTCAAACGATATCGAAAAGCGAATCAAGAAAAATACTATGATTGCTAAATAAACTGTAGCTATTAAAACAACATTAAACAAATAATTATTCCAAAAATAAGAGGAAATCATTTCCACTGTTGATATTTGTGATTTTAGGTTAACGTTTGCAACAGTTCATAAAATTTTGTATAATTAAATAATATATAAATAGCCTATTACCAGTCAATTAAGCCTAAAAGCCTATTTAAAATATACTTTGTTTAAAATCTATTTCAAACAAAAGCTAAAGTAAAAATAATTATATATATCCAAACATAATCTCAAAAATAATTTACCCAAATTTAATTTCATATACTATAAATTGGCCTAAGTGACTAAAAAGTAACAGTGAACATCAAGATCTAGAAGACCTGAATACATTGTTGCTGAAAAACATGTGTTAGGTAACAACTGGATTTCCTTCTTCTACCATGAACTAGCCTGATGAAAGTGTAAAAACTAGTTTGTATGATTTTTATATTATAATATTTTCTAGTAAAAAGTGAAAAGCTAAACCAATAGTCTAATTATTTCAAATAGTTTAAACAAGAAGAAATGTGGAAACGTGGAAGAAACTTGGTAATCTCCATCTTATTATTACAGACAATTCTATTTAGGTGTTGGACAATTTGAGAACATTAGCCTACATTTGAGGTGGATCGAGTAGCCTCATAGCTGTTAAAATTTATATTCTTGATTCAAGTAAAGACTTTTGTTTTAGAACAATCTTATCCAAATTCGATATAAAATTATTTAGTAAAAAAAAAACAAAAAATCAAAGGCTAACTTTATTATCATAAAAAAAATATCAAATTAAAATATTAGCAAGGAAATTGGTAACTAAAGAGAGTTCCAAGCACGAACCTAAAAAACCCTGAGGTTGCACGTTTAACACTTACACACCAACTCACACGAACTTTCGTTATTTTAGCCGAACCTATCGGACGTACAGACGACACCGACTGAAGATGATAGCTTACTTCGGTGACTCCAAACCAGTGTTGCCACCCTTGACCCATGAAAATTCCCCTTCTGAGTAAGGACAAATCCCCAATTTAACCCCAGCCAAGGCAAAAATCCTCCAATATTCTATAAAAATCCCTTTTTTACTAACATTTATCCCCAATTCATACCAATCTATGCCATAGTGTGTAGGCCTAGGTGAAAATTAACTCTACATGAATATTTAACTATAACATACATTATTTTATTCACTCCATATCAAAATATGTCCTAGTATCTTTTCTGACGGATAAAAAAATTCCCATTTTATCCTCAGATAAGACGATAACTTAATCCTCCATCCGCTAAGCCATAACAATGTAAAGAAAAGTCCCCAACTGCCCTCCATCCAAATTTTACAAAAAAACACTTTAAAGCACAAATATACGTCAAATAACACTTATAATAATATATTTACACTTATAAGTTACTGTTTACTCACAAGACGTAAAAGATAGTAAGTGACAGTAATAGTATAAGTGTAAATATATTATTATATTATAATTATTGTTTTTGATGATTTTTTGTGCTTTCAGGTATTTTAATGACACATGTTCGATGCTGATCGAGAAGTTATTTAATAATTCCTTTTAACTACCAATTCCCAATTCATAACGTAATCTATGCTATAAGTGTGTGGGTAAAAATTCATTCTACGTCAATATTACTTTAACATACATACATTTATTCACTCCATAATCCATATCAAATGTATAGTATTTTTTACTACTAGCATTGACTATAATGCTAGTAGATAAAACTAGGTATTAAGGATAGGGACTGATAACATTTTCAGATTTCCTTCTTAAATGATTACCCCTCAGTTAAAGGTTGTTATACTTCTATTGATCACTGGATTTTCCACTCCTCAATCAAAGTTTGTATCATAAATTATAGTAGCCTACTTTACAAAAGGGGTCTTAAAGATAATATAAGGAAAAAACTATAGAGTTCATCAAATGTTGTATAAGCCCAATCCTACCATGTTTGAACGATTTTCATCTATTCTGTTTGGGATTTTTCAACTAACCTAACCCCACTCCTGGCTCAAAATCACAATAATCCTCCAAAAAGTTTGATAAAATTCCAGAAATCCGCCAAAAATCCTCCACCGGACACAATCCTCCAAAAATCCCCAATTTGGAAAAAAAAATCAAATGTGTTAACACTGCTCTAAACTTTAGATGGTTACTCATGAGACAAAGGTCATTATGAGTCACTTAAGGACGACTGACACAAATACGTGACAGATTTTGTGGGACTGAAACAGTAAACTTGTGACATACCTTTTATATACATTTTGATGCCGTGTTACGACACGCTCTCAGTGATAGCTTATTATGAAATAAACGGTATCAGCATTCTGACACAAACTTTCTCCCATAAGCTTGTCAACAACCTTTATCATGGGTAAACGGTGAGAGTAAATATGATATTTTATAGCTAAAACTCACAAAAGTTGCAATACATTTTGAAACGTAATTGTTACAGCAATTTGATCAAAACCAGCTTTTCTCCAAAAATCCGATTTTTTTGTTATTTTAATGTTTTTATGGGATAATAACATAAGTTTAAACCGTAATGTTTACGGAGATGGGATTTGTACAATTTTGTTCAGAATTTAAAGGACTATAACATACTATTTTTTAAAAAATAGTTTAGGCCATTAAATCCCATTAAATTCATAAAACTAAAATCCCCATTTAACATGAAAATATCAAAAAAGGAAAAAAACTTTCAAAATTTTAAGGACCATAACATAAGTACTTAGTTAAATCAAACCCGGTATTTTTCTAAATCCTATTTTTCGTTATTTTACGGAGATTTTATGGGAAAATAAAATAATTTACAATTTCTTCTGAACCGTAATTTTTTACAGAAATGGGAGTCATACCATTTTGTTCAGAATTTCAAGATGCTACAACATACTAAATTTTAGTTAAATTCGTTCGGACCATTTGTGAGAAATCATATTTTCCCTTTATTCATGAGTTTTTATGGGGAAATCAACATTAAAAATCGAAAGTTCAAAAAATGAAAAATCCCTTGGAGATACCACGTATTAGTACCTACTTACCAAATTTCATCAAAATCAGACCACAGGTGTAGTTTGTACCTCTGTACACATCGACACATAAACACACGCACACACACACACACACACACAGACATAACTTCGAAAACCACTTTTTTGACGATATATCCACTCAAAACTCAAACTCGAAAATGTTGACGAAAACAGTACTTTCTCCATATACTATGGTATAGGGGGAGAAAGTAAACAAACTTGCCATACTTGATCAAAATACATTCATAACTAGCTAACTACATAAGTGTATACACTTTAACAATACAGTACTATTGTTAATACCTGATACAAAGTTTCATAGGAACAATAAAATTAAAACATAGGCCAGTAAATGTAAAAGTCAACAGTTTATTCTTTACATATTTTAAAACAAGAAAAGTAAATTTCTGTAAGTAGTAAATACAGTAGATATAAGGTGATAATTACTACTTCCCATCATCCAGAAGAGAGGAAGATGCTATTGAATTCCTTAAACTATCTTAGGAAAAATTAAAACCTATCTTAGGAGAAACATTAAAAAGAGTATCTTATTGTTATACATAAAAATAGTAATGATGGACCACATTAATATCAAAGAAAATTTGAAAATTAATCGTTTATTGAAATATCATTCGTAGTTGAAATTATAAATTTGGAAAAACATAAATGAAGTAATTAATTATCTTATAAAATTGCAACCCTTTTACCAAAGCAAGAATCGTGGTTTTGGTATTCGGTAGTAGGCTAGTCAAATTAAGGAAAAACGTCAAACTAATTGTAAAAGAAACAAAGTAAGGTTTTTTAGATGCGGAATGGGGTCCCGAACAACATATCAAAAGTCTACCAAAATCCACATTGGGGAGGGCCGCCATATTGACCGCCATCTTTGATTTTACAAAAAATCTGAGACTTGTGAGTATTACGGCTCTTGAACGGCCAAATATCAACCGAATGGAGCAAACAAAGTGTCTATTTAATATAGAATTAAACCAGCTTATTAATTATGTAAAAAATGTATACATTTGACGAGCTAAAATTTAGCAAATCCTAAATAATTTGGAAATAAACAGATTTTTTAAAATTTTTCTTTTTAATCCCCTAAAAACTAAATAATTACTCAAGTTAACAATTTGTCAACTCAATAATAGTTTATAAAATACCCCCGCCACAGCAAACCTGCAGACTAAGCAAATTTCTATTTGACTGTTGGGATTAATACAAAAATGTCTCCTTAAAAAAATTACATTAATTCCCTATTTATAAATCAAACAAGTTTATCGGGTAATTTGGTTCGCTGCAATAGGGAGGGTAAAAAAGTTTTTTTTTATGTTCATAGTTTAGTAAGAAATAAATGCATTTTCCAAATGTGATCAAAATACGTTTATAAACAAGCAAACTACAACAGTTAACTTATTCTCCATAAGAATAACTAGAAAGTGCTTCCATGAGAATTTTTAATTTACATTTTTTTTAATTTTCTCTGTAACTATTAGGCGCATAATAACGCTTCAATATACTAAACTGTTTGTTTTTTAAGCTCTACAAAATAGTTTGTAAAAAATTGCTAAATTTTGTTTTTTTTTTTTGGGGTAAAAAAAGGGAACAAACCTATTTTTACTCTATTTCCATAGTCCGATCATGATGGTTCACGAACTCGTTCAAATAAATTTAGGTTATTTATTGATGCTAAGTCCATGTAACCAGCTTCTTTGACATCTGTTAGTTTATCTATAGACGTGTAAGCGATGATATCATTGGTGATTACATGCCTTTTAGCAACAGTAAACAGCTGATACGTCGTGTTTAAGACTACACTACAGCCGTCGCTACAGTACTGGGAATGGAAACACTTTAACGCTAAATAATTATTTACTAAAATTACAACAATTTGTGAGAAACAGCTGACTCATTACAACAATGTCTTATTCAAAATATTATTCTGAACTTATAGAATATATATGTATTTAATTGCAAATAATAATAATCTGAATTAGGTTGAAATAACAAGAAGTGTGTGTATATAATACAGTGTAAGTGTATGTAAATGCAATAGTGGTTTAGTTGGTTTTTGTTTTCCTGTTTTGTGCATTTTAATGCCAGCACACATTTTCTAACATGTTTGAGAACCCTGGATTTGTTTATATAAAATGTCAAAGTTGTTAAAAATCTTAAAAAGTTAAAAAGTAAAAAAAAATATGAATTATTCATGAAACTGTATTTTTAGTTCACTTTACAAGAAATAATAAGTTAAACTGCCTTCCTGAGACTTTTTGCAAGGCGTGGCTTATTGCTATACTTTTTCCAAATATTTCCCCCATTTTGTTTGGACAGAATTTTGTTGCCCAGCAACCAATTAACAGTGGGCACAGAACTACAGGTTTACTTCTTTTACACATTATAAAACAATCAACCATCATTATTGATACGAGTTAGGCCTATATTATCTGTCACTTAACATAGGTTAGGCCATATCTCCAATGCCAACACTTGAAAAAGTACTAAACTAATTTAAAATTAGACGACTGTCACCTTGTCTTATCTTTAACCATTTATGTGTTGTATTTTCATTTATTTATACTGTAGCAAAAATATACCAGCTTGGAAAATATATTCATAGATAATACAAAAAATGTGTCTATCTTTGCTTATGGGGACATTGTGTAATATACAGTATTTTCCCTTTAGCGAATCTGCCACAGAGTGGGTAAGCTATTATCGTAGGTCTCATGGTAAGACCTGGACCCGGGATTGATTTGATGAGTTCTCGTTTTAATGTCCCCAGAAGCCAAACACATCATCTGTTCAAAATCATATAGGTCTACAATTTAAAAAAAAAAACTAAGCTTTGTTATGCGCTTAATGGGTAAGGATAAAATTCCTCAAAAAACTGTAAATTAA